AGGTCAAAATAATGAAAAGAAAAAAGCTCTATCTCTATCCAAAGTTCTTTGTCGAAGGCTCGAAGCACTCTTTCATCTGATCGAACCTTTGCCCATCCAAATGAATTTTCACATTGTGAATTTTGAATTACATGAATCTATAATTATTATATATGAATTTATTCATATTCATGTATATAAAAATTTTAATGGGTGTTTAAATTTATATATTAACAATTAATTTTTATGTATCAAATGTAATATAAAAAGATTGCTCATTTATAGTATTTTAGCATTACAAAAAATTGGAATCATAGAAATTGAGTTTTGAGAGTACAATTTCATTCTCTTAAATTTCTATGTTAAATTTTATTTTCTTTAAATTTGTCCGAAACTCATCAAATTCTCCAATAAATTGGTACCAGTTATTATTTTTACATTACTTATAAAGTATTTTAGAATAACGTGCAATGCACGTTCAATTTTGACCAATATATATAAAATGTGAGTCCAATAAAATATGTTGTCAATAACAATATTTGATTAACTAAAAATCTTAAAAATAAAATAAAATAAACAAACAAATAAATATAATGTAATCTTAAAAAGTAAATTCCACCCTCTCCCACGCAACATGATATCAATGTAGGACAAGAAGCTATTATAGAAAATTAAGCTCAGTTTGATTCTTATTTTTATCAAAATACATTTTTTTCTCTATTTTTTTAACAATACATTATTCATTAAAATAATATTCTAATGTAAATAAATAAATAAATTTCTTACTTTGACTTGTAACAGTATAGTTTGGAATCTTCCTATTCATTCTTAATCTATGCATAATTTAAAGTGAGGAATTTGTCCTATTATAATTGGGATGCAATGCATTGCAAGATAGACAATGCTATATGTACAAAAAATTTTTACACAATTCTTTACTCACTACTTACAATAGGGGTGGGATCACAAGACGTCATTTTTTAAATACATGGGAGTCCACACATTATGTGAGAAGGAGTGACAAATTTTGTCAACCATAATTTGTACATATATATATTTATCCTTATAGGATAACGACATTCCTACGTACAATTCAGTGTACGCAAGGATATCCCCCAAAAGATTCATTGCATTTCATGACTTTTCTATCCTTGACGTTTTTTTAAAAGGAAAAAGCCTTAAGTACGGGGAATTCCTTACCGAACTCATAGAGATGCAGATGTGGTGAAATCAAATTCGCTTGTTTTTTTGTGTTTTTTCCATCTTCTAATGATTTCATGTCATGTATTGTCTGTCAAATTTTTTTATTAAAATTTTCTGTATCTATAGCATTATTGTTTTTTAAAATATAATTTTACTCCTTAATTTTTCATTTTGACCCCCATATTATTGACAATACACACTGAATCGGTGCCTAAAATTTATCCAAAGTTTGAAAAAGAAAAAATGCTATGAATACTAGTTTAGAAATGTACATATTGACATTAAATCTCCTACTGGAATTCCGTTGCGGCAAACTTATTTTTAAATATGTATATCGTTGAGTAAATATATGAATATATCTAAAAGTAATGTTATTCGTAATCGCTTATTGTGGTAGTCGTCTTACGTGGCATACACATGACAGATGGTTATTTGATGCATTAATGTGGTAATTTTTTTTATTCACTAATGTATCAAATAACCACCTGCTATGTGTATGTCACGTAGGGCGATTGCCGCAGCGAGCGACTGCAAATAACATTATTCTATATCTAATGAGCACATCCGAACTTGGTCGTATTGTGAATTTCTTTTTTAGTAATGCTATTCGTAGTCGCTCACTGCGGTAGTTGCCCTACGTGACATACATATGGCAGGTGATTATTTGATGCATTAATATTGTAGTTTTTTTATTCATTAATACATCAAATACCCACATGTCATATGTATGCCATGTAGAGCGATTGTCGCAGTGAGCGACTGTAAATAGCATTATTCTTTCTTTTTTCATGATGTTGAAGTAGATACGTACATCAATAACTAGATGCAATGAATATACCGTATTTTATTGAATATAATTGACATTAATTGTTATAATGGCAGTATTATTCTTAGCCCCCATTTGAGTCTCATTATTTCTCATTACATTAAATTAAATTTTTTTTTCTCTTACTTTTAACTATGCAATCTTCAATAAAATATTATCACACGTAAATCAAAAATTTTTCAATCACTTATTTTTCAAAAAAGATACTATTCATATCATTATAATTTACAAATAATGGGGCTCAAATGGCCCCTTAATTAAGGCGCATGGGGCAGGTCTAAAAATTAAATTTCTCCATTTGTTCACACCTACCCTAACTCGGTGGGTTGTATTGGGATTTGAAAGCAAAAATTGCACAATCCAACTTCTTATCCTAATCATAAGACCGTTGCCTTTTCAAAACTTTCTTATTTACGAAGGATTAGCTTAATTAAGCCGCCATTCTTGGTAATGGAAAATATTGGCCGTCGTTACAGTAATTCGTATGAATACTGACCTCTGATTGGCTGTGTACGGTCAAGAATGCGTCGTTGCATAGACTGTCCGTGCAACCAATAGCACATGATTTTTCTTCTCGTCATTAAAGAAGTCACAGACTAAAGACGCGGTATTCCAGCCTGGCTTCATCATTCTCAATTGAAACGTCTGGTCCCACCATAAAAAGTCTGAAATACCAAAGCTGCCCCTAGAGCAATATTCAGTAATTAACAAATTTTATTTTTAACTTTTATTAAACGAAATCTAAGGAAATTATTGTTTATTTTAATATTTGAGTATTTTACTCGAAAGTTCCTTGAATTTAACATGTAGAATATATCATCATAAATAAGTCGAAAAATGATAAATAGTATAAATAATTTTGATTGCATAATTGTAAAAATGACACGAAAGTGTAAACTTTGTTTAATAAAAAAATTATTAATACATAATTATTTGAATAAAAACTAAAAAATTTGAATGTGTTTAGATTGTAAAGTTTATAACTCTTATCAACGCGTGTATGCTCATTTTAATTATTGACTAATTGAATATCAGAATTGACAAATACAAATTTAAGATTTATAATGAAGGTTACACGAACATTTGAAAACCGTAATATCTACGGTTATCATGTGAGAGTCATTTCTAACTAAAATTTAAACAATTCAAATTCCTGATATGTTTGATAAATGTAAACTTTTGATTTGTCAAAAAAAATATTAGATTTGTATTAAGAAAAAAAAAGGTCTATGTACATCTACAGTTAATGTATCAAAATCAATTCTAACTAAAATTTTCAATATTATGAATTATTGACAAAAACGACAAATATAAACTTATGACTTGTAACAATATTAGTTACATATTAAGAAATTACACATATATGAATATTTTTATTGTTAACGTGTCAAATTCATTTCATTAAAATCTTAGGCTATGTTTGATTGCACCCCAATTTCATGAAAAATGGTAATCAAATTCCATCTTTCTAATTTATTTATTTGATTGACAAAATTTTCCTTAGAATTCGAATTCCACATTTTATGCCACCTAAGCTAATTTTCATGTTTTCCTTGAAAAATTGGAATTCTCGGTTACTGTAATATATATATATATATTTTTTTTTTGTTGGTAATGAAAACAAATTTTAAGAATTATTAAAAAAAATATTTCCCTTTAAATAGCAATTTTCATGTAAAATAAAGTTAAACGAACAACAAAAGATAGATGATTTTATTGAATTTTTTATTTTTTTTTTGTTGGCAATGGAAACAAATTTTATCTCCAATACCAATAAAATCTATCCCTTTAATTGAAAATTTTCATGTAAACAAAGTCAAACGGAGATAAAAAAAAAATTTTATTTCAACATTTTTTACATGGAAACTTATCTCAATCAAATACAATAATTTACAATTTTCAGGAAAATAATTTCTAGACAATTCAATTCCTTCGAATTCATTTTAATTCAATTCTATCTTTGCAATCAAACGGACCCTCCTTATAAGATTTGATAAAATTTATCATTGAAATTAAAAGGTTGAATTTATTGATTTTGACTTCAAATTTCTAAGTTTTCGAAAACATGCACTAAATTTGCAATAAACAAAAACTATTTCACGCTTCTAAATTTTTTTTTATCGTAAAATGGTAAGAAATTTGGTGTCGAGTTGGGCATAAATGTCATTTCAGACTGATTTTCCATGTCAGAGTCACAATCCAGTATTCTATTATTCCATTCATGGGTCAGACGAGACCACACCTTACTAACACATAGAAAGGACTCATAAATCCATTCGTTCAATTTTATTGATCAACTAACGGTCAAATGGACGATTTTCATCCATTTGAACCCTCGGTGCATATTTTTGAAAGGTTTAGGACTGTGGGTGGCACAAATTAAAGGTTTAGGCAAAGTCTGCTAATAAACGAAAGGTTTGGTACCGTGGCTGCAATTTTCCCTTTATTTATTTATTTATTTGATTGACAAAATTTTCCTTAGAATTCGAATTCCACATTTTATGCCACCTAAGCTAATTTTCATGTTTTCCTTGAAAAATTGGAATTCTCGGTTACTGTAATATATATATATATATTTTTTTTTTGTTGGTAATGAAAACAAATTTTAAGAATTATTAAAAAAATATTTCCCTTTAAATAGCAATTTTCATGTAAAATAAAGTTAAACGAATAACAAAAGATAGATGATTTTATTGAAATTTTTATTTTTTTTGTGTTGGCAATGGAAATAAATTTTATCCCCAATACCGGTAAAATCTATCCCTTTAATTGAAAATTTTCATGTAAACAAAGTCAAACGAAGATAAAAAAAAAAATTTTACTTCAACATTTTTTAAATGAAAAATTATCTCAATCAAACACAATAATTTACAATTCTCAGGAAAACAATTTCTAAGTAATTCAATTTTTTGGAATTCTTTTTCAATTCAATTCCATCTTTACAATCAAACGGACCCTCCTTATAAGATTTGATAAAATTTATCATTGAAATTAAAAGGTTGAATTTATTGATTTTGACTTCAAATTTCTAAGTTTTCGAAAACATGCACTAAATTTGCAATAAACAAAAACTATTTCACGCTTCTAAATTTTTTTTTATCGTAAAATGGTAAGAAATTTGGTGTCGAGTTGGGCATAAATGTCATTTCAGACTGATTTTCCATGTCAGAGTCACAATCCAGTATTCTATTATTCCATTCATGGGTCATACGAGACCACACCTTACTAACCCATAGAAAGGACTCATAAATCCATTCGCCCTCAATTAGCCATCATGCCACCAAACCTCCACCTCCTTGCCGCCGCCGGAATCACCGTCCTTCTCCTCGTTGCGCCCAGTTCCGCCGCTAAAAACCCACAATTCAGGGAAGCACCTGCATTCCGCAACGGCAAGGAATGCTCAAAATCCCAATGGTCAAACAAAGACGCAGTGCACGACAACGCCACCATTCATATAGCCATGACCCTCGATTACTCCACCCCCTACCTGCGCGGCTCAGTCGCCGGTGTTTTGTCGGTGCTCCAGCATTCCACCTGTCCTGAAAACACCGTCTTCCATTTCCTTGCTACACTGCACCACCACCCACACCTCCGCCGCACCATTACCACCACATTTCCTTACCTTAATTTCCACCTCTACCCCTTCAACCCCACCACCGTCAATCACCTCATCTCCTTCTCCATCCGCCGGGCCCTCGATCAGCCCCTCAACTACGCCCGCATCTACCTACCTGACCTCCTCCCCCCAGCCGTCACCCGCATTATCTACCTTGACTCCGACCTCATAGTCATTGACGATATTGCAAAACTCTGGCGAATCAATCTTAACTCTCGCGTCTTAGGTGCCCCCGAATATTGCCATGCTAATTTCAGCCATTACTTCACGTCAAGGTTCTGGAAAAGTCCTCCATTTTCCACAGTATTCAAAGGCCGTAACCCATGTTATTTCAACACCGGCGTGATGGTAATTGATTTGACAAAATGGAGAGCTCACGGGTACACAGAAAAACTCGAGTACTGGATGAGAATTCAAAAGAGGTACAGAATCTACGAATTGGGTTCATTGCCTCCATTTTTACTAGTTTTCGCCGGGAATGTTGAAGGAGTAGAGCACCGGTGGAATCAGCACGGACTCGGCGGCGATAATCTTGAAGGTTTGTGCAGGGATTTGCATCCGGGTCCGGTGAGTTTACTCCACTGGAGTGGAAAAGGGAAGCCATGGTTGAGATTGGATGCTAAGAAGGCTTGCACTTTGGATTATCTTTGGGCGCCGTATGATTTGTTCCGCCATGAATATTTGTTTTCAGATTGTTGAATGCATTACGGAGGATCATAGCCCAAGATGAATAATTGAGAGGTCAGAGGTGAGTTGGAGACAGACAGTAGTGAAGTGAAGTGAAAGGACAAATTTTGTGGATGAATATTATGACGTGGGAAGGATGCCAAAAAAAAACGAGTTTTACAGCTGGCCTTGGTGTATATTTATATATATATATAAATTTTGCTGTCTCAAAGGGTGGTGGTGGGCCGCCGTGAGAGGTGGTGGATTTTGGTGGCTTGTGTAATTATCTAGTTTTTGTGGAAGTGGTTGGATTCGTAAAGATTCTCGTGTTTCTGTCAAGGGGGTCCTGTTTTCTGGGTTGGGCATAGAGCAGGTACTTATGTTGTGTATTTACTAGGGACCTTTTTGTATTATTAGTTGGAAGAAAATGAATTTCAGGGAATTGAATTGTCTAAAACTTATGTTTCCTGAAAATTGTTAATTAAATGTGTTTGATTGATATAATTTTTCACCTGAAATATGTTTAAATTTTGGATCTTTTGGCATTCTTTTATTCTTGCTTTTCTTGAAAATTGTCAATTAAAGGGATAAGTTTTTTACAATTGTAGATAAATTTTTTTTCTCATTGCTGAAAAAAAAAAAAAAAAAAAAAGGGAAGAAGTTAGAAATCATTTTCTCACCAAAACCAATTTTTCCTTAAAAAGTTATAAAAGAGAGTCACGTGGGGTGGAAAATGGAAAACCAATTCTATGGAATTTGTTTGCAATCAAATACCCAATTTTGGATGGAAATGGAAAATGTTTTCCATTTTCCATAAAAAGAAGGGCCTAAACTAAAAGAACAAAAAAGAAAGCACCCCTATCTTCATCATCTTCCCCATTTCCACCCTCGCCCTTACCCTCACTCTCCAACCAAACCATAATCCAATGCCACCAACCGCTACCATCAAACTCACAGCCACCCAAAAACCAAAATCACCTCCACTAAATCAAACCATCACCTTCCACTTCTAAACTCCAACACCGCCTCCACTAAATCGAACCCAAAAGTTACACGAGTTCCAGAAGATCTACTTGAGTGATCCTTACCTATTTCTCATATCCAATGGTGTACATGGTTTTTGTTTTCTCGTTCATAAAATCCATTTTGACCAATTCTGTGATCTCTTAGCAAGATCCAAGCTAAGAGCCATGGATTCACAAAGGGGACTCTCTGCACTAAACATAAAGACAGTGCCATTTGGTTTCAAGGAGGGAAAAGTGCATGCGATTATAGCAATAGGTTGATTTGCTAAAGGTTTCAAATAAGGAAAGTGCATCATATTGGTCAGTACTCGCCCGAATTTTTTATGTTGCAGTCGTGGTAGAGATGGTGGTGGTGGGATTCTCCACCTATAATTCTTGTAGAATTGAATTGATTAATTTGAGATACACGAGTTATCGTCTGTCGAGTCAACTGTGGGTTTGGCGGTGGCTATCAGTGGCTTTGGATTGTGTTTAGTTGGATGTTGGGTGGGGGTGGGGTGGAGGTTAGGTTGAGTTGGATTAGTTTGTGTGGTGGCTAGAAGACACGGAAATGGCAGTTTGTCGGTGGTTGAAGACAGTGGAGCGATGGTGATTTTGGGAGGCGGCTAATTAGTTGTAGGTGTGTAGGTTGTGGTGGTGCCGACGGCTATGAGAAGAAAATGAAGTTTGAGTTTGGTTAAGGTGAGGGTTGGTTGTGATGATGGTGTTGACAGCAATGGGAAAAAGAAGAGGAAGATTTTATTTTATTTTTTTAGTTTAATTGTTAATAATATTTGGAAAAGTATAAATATACCATTTTGTCCTTTTTTAGTTTGGTCAAAATTGATTAAATTTTGACTTTTCTAATCAACTGATGGTCAATAGTGAACTCGATCTTTCATATTTTCTCTTTTTGTTATTATATTTTACAAATAAACACTAGACATTAAAATTATCTCTCTCCAAAATTTCACTCTCTGTACATTTCTTCTTCATTCTTTTACAGTAAACTTTAATGGATGATAAATTTAAATAATTTTATAAATACTTTACAATAGATTTAATATAGCTCTAATAGGAAAAAAATGTATTTTTAGTTTAATCTTTTGTAAGAATTCAAAATTTTCATTGATTCAAAATGAACAATCATCAAAATCAAGATTTTCTCAAAAATTATTGACCAGAATTGCTTATAAATATGCATACATTTTTTTAATATATATTGTTGCACGAATTTTTCTTAAGAATTAATTTTTGATCCAAATTTTACAATTTATATTGTGTTTAATAATTTATCTTTTTAGTTCTTATTATCTAATCTCTAGTCTTGGAGTGTTTTTTTTTGTTTGTTTTCTTATTTAATTAATTTATATATTATTAGATTACAAAAATGATAAAGTAATTTTAACTCTGTTTTATCTATTTTTAATTTGACAAGTAGTTTAATACTTCGTTTTAATTAAATTTTTGGGGATAATTGAAGCAGAGGCCCCAAAACTTTTAAAAGTTAGCAAACTTTTTCCGAACTTTTGATTTGTTGCACTGTCACCCCCAACCTTTTGAAATGTTTCAGATGAAGCCTTAATGGATAGAAAATATCCAATTTACCTTTAGTTGATTGAAAAATTAAGTTTGACAACTTTTTTAATATTCTTATAAATGGCAAAATGGTAACTTTCTATTTTTATCACATTAATTAAATAAATAAATTAAAAAATCAAAAATAAAAAAAGATCACAAACACATACACTGTCATCTTCTTCCTCTCCCCTCACCCATCTCCATCTCAAACCCAAAGTCCACCCTACCATCGCCACTGCCATCTCCACATCCATCGCCATCCCAACTTGGCCAATGCGCAAGTTAAAGCGACAAGGAGAGTGAGGGAGATGGAATTGGAAAAGTGCATAGAGAGCCAATTCAAAATGGTGAAGTTCACAAATAGCCAAATCAAAATAGCAATATATCTAAATGGTCAATTGAACTTAACAAGAAGGCTGAAGTTGTTCCCAAGTCTAATTTGAGTTTCATGTTTGGCTTTGTTTAGTCCCCAATTTTGACTGTAGATATTTAATTTAGATTCTGGAGCCTCTACCTATGCCCATGGACAATTTTCTATGAGCACAAAAAATTTCTTGAAAATTCTATTCATGAAGAAAGCCATGATAGATGGAGTAGGAGAAAGAGCTGGGGCTTGGGTTAGGGTTTTGGTCGTCGTTGTAGGAGGTAGGAGAAAGAAGGGGCGCTCAAGGAGAAAGACATGTGTGGACGGAAGGCCCTCTACCGAAACTCCGCCAAAAACATCTTCGTCGGGGGCCTCGACGGCAGCATCTGCGGTTGAGGAGGTGGCAGAAATGGGTGTTTGAAAATGATTGGTTGGGGCTAGAGCTGGGTAGGTTGGGGAAGAAGATACATGCTTTTCCCCCTTTTTCTCAATTTTTAATTTAATTAATTATATATTTAATTTAATAAATAGAAAGTTACTATTTTGTCCTTTATAAGAATATTAATAATGTGGTTAAACTCAATTTTTTGGTCAACTAACGGCAAATTGTATGATTTCCATCCATTGGGCCCTCACCTGAAACGTTTAGAAAGATTGAGGGTGACAATTGTAACAAATCAAATGTTTGGAGAAAGTGCTAACTTTTAAAAGGTTTGAGTCTCTGCTGCAATTATCCTAAATTTTAATGTAAAGAATCGGATCAGATTGAACCAAAATTGGTTGGTTCGAATCCATTAGATTCTGTAGTTAGATATGGAATTCAATAGTTCTATTTCTATGATTTTCATTACTACTTGGTTCGGTTCTCATTTGTATTTGGTTTAGTTCGGTTCTTTTCATAATTGCACTGTGCTTACTCCTAGATTAAATTAAATACAAGGATTTATGACTTATTTATTTGGACATATGAGATGCTGACACACACACACACTAATATTCAATACGAATTATGCTAGATAGGAGCATTATCAATTTAGTAAATACTTCCTTCGTCGTATTTATATAGGATTACTTTTTTTTTTTCAATTATATTCCTGTTTCTTTATTGAGTTTGGTTTGTTTTGTCCATTACTAATATACCCTTATTTAATTTGCATATCATAAACAATGTTTTCACCTAATCTTGAAATTGTACAAATATAAATATTGATATAATAGAAAAGTTATTGACAAAAATTACTTTTTCAATAATATTAAATAAAATTTTTTAATTCGCGTGAAAAATAAAATAAGTCTATATGTTTCTCCAATTGCTAAAAAACCAAAGTTTGCAACGAAGTGCAGGCTACTCTATCCTTGCTTTTTTGTGCTTTGTGAGGAAGATTGAAATATAGAAATTATCTAAATTTTGGCAAAATGTGATGTGATTACGTACATCATTATTTACTCGTTAACATGAACCAATCAGAAGGTACAATGTGGCTATTGCTTGCCAGTCTTTCACACAAAAGAAATGGACTTCTGCTAATGGAGGTTGCTGTATATAATTTTCTTGACCTAGTTTGGCCTCCATTTTTTAAAAATGAAAATGGGTAATAGTTGTTGCGTGTTGTCACACCTGGCCAACCTACCTAGGACAATGGCCCACTCATGGCGATCCACGTGGCATTCCTGCCGAGGTGGCATACAATGTCGAGGTGGGGCTACATCCGAACTACTTTGAGTCGAAGCCCATCTGCCGAGGCTCCCTTCTGTCCGAGGTCCATTGACCGAGGCCTACGAACCGAAGCCCCGCTGCTGGAACCTGTTGAGAGCAGTTGAGGCCCTCAAGTGGAAGTATTATGACAAATGGCAGAAGCCCCGAAGCTGATGCACGAGTTTCTGAACCACAAGGAAACATCCTCCATGGTCACTTCTCCCAAAAGATCGCCTGCACAGATCTTATTCGAATGATTGATGAAACGTTTGTCATAAGCATAAAGGTCAAGTCTTGTCACTAGCATGGAGGCCCTGCACAAGCAATAAGTGCGCCGTAAACTAGCAAGTCAAGTCCCATGCCTAAGAACAGACGTTTGAACTAAGGAGATGAGGCCATGTGCCACTTCATCCAAGGGCTCCCATTCCATATGTATCACTATAAATACCCCCATTGTATAATGTCAAAGGCTAATGCAAGAATCAATACTAGAGACTACATTTACTCAACTCTCTCTCATTTACTTGCAATACACAAATCGAATTCATACGCTTTTACACATACATTAACGAGCACCGGTTGGTAATTATTGTACAATCGGATTACGAACAACCCGCCGGATTCCGAACGTTACCGTCCCGCGTCGTTGGGCTACTCCCATGCCCCTTTGAACCGCTCGTTTTAGACCGTCCACGTGTCTTAGCGTGTCGAACATTCGCCCACGCAAGCGCGGGTGGGATCGGTATCTGTTGGCGCACTTTTTGGGGTCAA